CCCCAAAACCCCAAAACCCCAAAACCCCATGAGCAAATTAATTACTAACTTTTGAAAATACTTCAGAATAAATTATAAATATAATCCTTTAGATCAATGTAAACCAAGAAAACTTTGACAATCTAAGATTTGGAGACTCCAAGATTTTTATCATCCTCTTTTTACCCATATACATTAAACGACAACGGAGAAGTAGTTCTTTTAATGAGAAACAAGAAAGATTCAAAAAATAGTCCTTTCTATACAGACTTTGGATCATCTTTGAAAGACAGCGATTACAGCATAGTATACACAGCAGTAAAATCTTATCTTACAAAAACTGCATGTTTATGTGTAGGATCTGAGCTTGAAAATCTATCAAATTACTCTGAGATTGAAAAGAGATTGAGGGAAATATCATCTAAATACAGCAGTGAGAATGATATTTTATTGTAAAACATGAAAAAAATGCATGAAATAATGCATACTCTGTTCTATTAGCAATCTCACTCAGTAATTGAAATAATAGGTGAGAGCCACGTGGCTTTCTTTTATCCCTTGGCTTATTTCAAGCCTGATATGATGAATAAGGTTTTTGCTGAAAGTGAAAAGTTTAGTGATCTCAGCTTGCAATGGATACCATTAAAGTTAGTGGCTGATCCTGACTTCAATCAAAAGTACATCACTGCCTTCGATCTATAAGTTATAGCTTAATGTTCAGAAAAATTGATTCTTAATTTAATTGATGAACATCAAGAGGAGGAGTTTCATTATCCAGAATACGCAACTTTGATTTGTGATGAAAGGGATCATGTAAAGTTTACTGTAGAGGGATTAATAGGATTGTTGCTTTCAGAAGGCTCAAAAGAGAGATGGGCCCATTATAAAGCTTATGACCTAGAATTTCCTTCTGAGAACGAATTAAAACACCTAAAAGCAATAATATTCCCTGGTAGTAAATACTCTGCTTATGATAATTCAATTCCCTGGCTAGAACCACTTAAAACTTTGATCAGAAAAATATATACAGATTATCCTCACATTAGATTGGTTGGGATCTGCTTTGGACATTAGCTATTAGCAGCTGCTCTAGGTGGTAAGGTTGAAAAGATGACTAATCTAGAAGGAAGGCCCTTATTTATTGGAAAAGAAACAATCAAAGTTGAGAGTAGCTTCTTCAAACTTCCTTTTGTAGATGAATTATTAAAGGATGCAACTGATGAATGCCTATCAGATCTCCAGCCTTTGTATATTAATGAAATACACGGAGATCATGTTACTGAACTACCGCCTGATGCTGAGTTGCATGGAACTAGTGAAAGAACTCAAGTTGAAATATGGACGCTTAAAGACAGAATATTCGCTATGCAAGCTCACCCTGAACTTAATAGTCAGTTGATTGAAGATTTAGTGATTAACAAGCTTTATGATATTGGAAGATTAGATGATAATTTAAAGAATGAAGCACTGGAAAATATATATGATCCTTCAAAGCCATTGAATAGACATGCAATGCTTAAATTTATCTATAATTTTATCAGAAGACCTTATGTCTAATGATTTAATTCTTGATTTCTTAAAATAGAACAAAATTAAGTTTCATGGGGTTTTGGGGTTTTGGGGTTTTGGGG